CCCTAAACCCCTAAACTGTAAGCCCCTCAACCCTAAACCATCCTAAACCCTTAAACCCTAAACCTTAAGCCCTAAACCCCTGAACCCTAAACCCCAAACTTTAAACCCTAAACCCTAAACCCCTAAACCCCAAGCCCGAAACCCCTAAACCCTAAACCCCTAAACCCCTAAACCCCTGAACCCTCGAATCCTCAAACCCGGCAGGAGGGCTCCGAGGAGGAGAAGCAGTCCCGGGCCGGGGAGCTCAGCCTTGAACACCAGCACTAGGGGCCGTAATAATTAGACTTAGTAAGTAAGGGTTTAGGGTTTTAGGGGTTTAGGGCTTTTAGGGTTTAGGGTTTAGGGTTTAGGGTTAGGGGAGTAAGTTTATAAGTGCCTTAATTGGGGTTGTAACTATAGTTACCTTACTTATAACCCTGGTTACTAAGTCCCATGTTCCTCTGAGTAAGAATTAGAATAGGGTTTTGGGGGGTTCCTTTAACGGGTTCCTTAAAGGGTTACTATAAGGGCTACTATAAGGGTTTAGGGTTTGGGGCCTTAATAATTAGAATAGGGCCTTAATAATCATAATAATAATAATAAAGACAATAATAATAGTAATAATAGCAATAGCAATAAGAATAATAACAATAATAATGATAGCAAGAATAACAACAATAATCATGATTAGAATAGGGTTTACATATTGTGATAAGAAGGCCCCCAAAATAGTATAGGTAATTATTAAGGGCCCTATATTACATGCTCTTCCGCCTTCAAGCCTTCGTGCAAACCATAGGCCCTAAACGGTGAGGTCTAAGGGCTTTGGGAGGGACTCTGGGACCTTTGTAGGTTATTGGGGTTGATATGGAGACTACCTGGCTATGTAAGGGGTGTATAATGACTATACAATGGGTTATTTAAGGTAATGGGATTAAGGGTCCCTATTAGGGGTCCCTCCTAAAGTCCTTAGCGGGCATTGCAGGTGGTTGAGATCTCCTGGAGCTTACCCAGAGCCGGTTAGGTCCTTTTGAAGATTGTTGAAGGTCTTTCGGTCCTTCTCTAGGTCTGAACTACCGCCTGTGAAATCTCCAGCGGAACCTCCCCATATCCAGCCTACATGACTAGCGCGAGACCCAAACAGAGCCGCAACCGCCACTTCCATGTTAAACCCTAAACCTTAAAAACTTTCTGAGTCTGAGTATTGGATCAGGCCAAGAGTCTTTCAGGAAGTGAGTGGAATCTGATTGTCGGTGGTTGCGTTCGGTGCAGGGTCTGAGATACGAGTTGTTTAAGGTTTAGGTAAAGTCGAGGTCTGAATACTGGCTTCCCCACATGTGTGTTCCCAGTCCCCTCCCCCAAGCCAAGGCGGCCCGCGTCATGCCAGCCCTGACATGTGCAACCTTGGCGCGCTCCTTCCCTCCGCTTCTGCCCTCTCTAATTCCCTTTCTAACTCCATGTGAATGCGCCGGAGAAGCCGTGTCGCTGCCAACCTGGACGCGTGCCGTCCCCGCTTGAACCTGCCTGCCCACCCACAAGCTTCTTCTTATCATTGTCGCCATTACAGCCCGCGCTGCAGGGCTGATGTTTTAGGAACGCCCTTATGAGGCCCTGCAGGAGACCTTGCAGCAGATCAAGAGAACCGAGCATGCCACCAACGGGAAGGCTCTTGCTACAAGGGGGTTAAGGTAGGCAGTCTTCGGTCAGGGCTGCCTTCCGGGATCTGGGATCATAGTTATGTAGGGATATAGGAAGGGTGTCTATCCCCCCAAAGCAGGTGCTGGCAACCTAAACTGAAAGGCCCTGAGGCCCGGATCTTGAAGCCCGATAGCTGAATGCTTGGACTCCGAACACCAAAACCCTAAACCCCAAAACTCTCAAAGCATAGTACCCTAAATAGGAGGATCGTTATCATAAGGACCCCAAAACTGAGCCAAATTCTCTTCGGAAGCCCTAGAGAACCCTCAGAGGAGCACCGAGTCTCTTGGATACTGCCCTGATTCAGCAGCAGTTGAATACCACCTGTTGTAGACTGTTACTCGATGGGGGTAGAACCTAGTCTTTCGCCAACATACAAGGGGAGAACTACACGGACAGTTATGACACGATCATCACGAAAGTATCACAAGGGTCAGTCACTGTCAAATAACAGCATTTAGGCTTTAGGTGTTAGGAGTGTTTGTAGCCTGCTTAGATTGTTTCCAGGGTCGTAGGCTCTGTAGGTTCAGCCGAGGTTGTGAGAGCGCTTGCCTCATCTTGCTGAAGTCTTGGTTCCTGGTAGTCCTGAGCCTAGACACTAGGAGTTTACTTGCTGTTGGCCAGCCGTTGAGGATTGAAGTTGCGGCGTCAGCGTCGATCAGTTTGTTGTGCCATTGATCCCTAAACCCTAAACCTTAAACCCTAGCTCCTAAACCCTAGCTCCTAAACCCTTGCTCCTAAACCCTAAACCCCAGACCTCAACCCGAAACCCCTACCCCTGGAAGCCTAAACCCTAGCATCCCAGATCCTTACCCTACCTTCTTTGAATAAACTCCAAAGCGCTGGGCCCGAATCCCCAAAACCCGAGCAACTTCAAACCCTTATACCGATATGCCCCGAACCTCAAGATACAACTCCAAATCCCTAAACCTCCAGCCCCCAAAACCGCAAGCACCCAAGACCCTATAAACCCCTCAGAGCCCTTACAGCAAGCTGTATAGCAACCCTGATACACAAAAAGCCCGGCAGGACAAGGATGTGGAAGAACTCTCCAGAATCCTCGAAGAGCGGCGGCCCCGGTGGAGACTTCGTCCAGCTCTTGTGCAGGTCTTCCACCCTGAGCCCCAAGCACCAAGCACGATGAGCTGCAAGCTTTGGGCTTAAGGGCCTGCCGTTCAGGATCTAGCACCTCAAGGCTTTAAGGTGTAAGAAGTGTGTTGGAATGATTGGTAGTCCCTCCTTCTAGCCCGTATACAGTCCGTACAAGCCATCCGCCAAAATCTTCTCTAGTCATTCAGGCTCCCGTCTAGGGTTAGGGGGTTTAGGGGTTTAGAGGAGTGTTGGGTTCCGGATTGCCAGTTGCACGGAGCCCCGAGGCAGCTTCTCTCCAGCAAGTTCCGACAACTGGAACCTAAACGGCGCAGGATGCCACAAGATGCAAATCCCCTAAGACCCTGAAACCCGAGTCTATAGAATCTAGACCCTGGGTTCATAAACTCCCCATTGTTAGGTAACGTAGGAGTAGGATGCTGCTGTAATTCGTTTTCAGGAGCAGAGGCATGATTAACAACCCGCCAAACCACTTAACCACTGGATCCAAAACCCTTCGCAACTCACAGGTGGTGTCAGCATCCTGGACCCTAAGCCCCTTCTAGACCCGAAGCCCTTCAAGAAACCCTGGACCATACACCCTTTGAGTCTCAAGCCCGTATAGAAAAGACCTGGACCCCATACCCCTTTCAGCCCGCATCCTGGCACCGAAAATTATAATTAGAAAGCCCTAAGCCCTAAGCCCTAAACCCCTAAGTCCTAAACCCTAAGCCCTAAACGCTAAACCCTAAACCCTAAGCCCTCAGACTGTAAATCTTAAGACCTCGTGGCTGAAGGTGCCGCCCGCACATCTGGGATGTGGTGAAGCCGGGGACCCGGCTCTCGTCCAAAATTGCCGGGTTGCGGCGTAAGGTTCCCTTAAGGGGTTCTATCAGGGTGTCGATATTTTTTCAGGTTTATGAGGTTTTGGGGTTTAGGGCATGCCTATATCGTTTTTCAGATTTATGAGGTTTTGGGGTTTAGGGCATGGGGGGTGTCCAGGGAATATTTCCAAATAAGTGAACAGTCCATATACAGTGCAAAGATAAACCGAAAATCTGCAGCCGGATCCGTTTCATGGACTCATCAACATCATACTATGTGCACTAATGTCAGTTATGGGTGCATCAGCATAGGCTCCATTTTACGATGCACCGCATCCCTACACCCAAGAGAGCCTAGGCCTAGACCTTAATCACCCTAAACACCAAACGCTAGCAAGTCCTAAACCTTAAACTACTTCCCATGTGAAGCCTTAGAAACCCCTAGCAGGTCCCCACGAAACCTTCAGAAGGCCCCTTGTGGGGCTCGGGTTTATCCTTATAACTTCCTATAACTCTTCTCCCGAAAGCCCCGAAATCCTACAACTCCCTGAGCCGTAAACCCCACCCTAAACCCTAAACCCTAAACCCTAAACCCTAAACCTTAAACCCTAGACCCTAAACACTCCTAAACTCAGGTTTCTGAAGGAGGAGATCCCCGGCCTGGTCGATGCAGGCCGGGGATTGCCGGGGTCTCCTTGCGAAGGTCGCGGCGGTCCCAAGGCCCAAGGCATGCCGCCACTGCTTAGGGTTTAGGGTTTAAGGTTTAGGGTTTAGGGTTTTGGGGGTGGGGTTTAGGGTTTAGGGTCCTTCACGTTAGGAACTCGCACCGCACTTGAAAAACCGTCAGCCTCAAAGCCTAAACCCTGAAACCTAAACCCTAAATCCCAAGCCGGGCGGAAAGGAATCAGGTGTCAAACAAACGACCCAAACCCTGAAGCCACAAAAGCCTGAGCTTCGTCATCCTGCAGGCTACGAGGGCGATGTTCCGGTGATGAAGGCTGCCTGCCAGGGCTTAATTAGGGCCTCATATAGGCATCTAAAATAACTCTCAATATTATTTTTAGGGTTCCTTATTGTAGTTATAGTATAATGGGCCCCAAAACCCTAAACCCTAAACCCTAAACCCTAAACTCTAAACCCTATTCTAATTATTTAATTATTAAGGCCCCTACATTAGGCCATGAACATTTGAGGCTAAATCGGGTGCAGGGCATCCTCCTGCTTTTACGTTAGGTTTAGGGTTTAGGGTTTAGGACCCGGTTCGGAGTTCTTATTTCAGGGTTAGAGGGCTGAGGGTTTTCCGAGAGGGGGGATGGGTTAAGGGGTTTGGGGTTTAGGACCCAGGATTCAAAATATGGAATTTTGGGTTTATGGCTTAATCAGGGTTATTTAGGAAACTGTGAAAACCATGGTGTTTTTGGGGAAGCCTATATGATTCTATGCTCAATAGGGCTCCTCAAAGGCAGTCCAGAGACTCTGTTCTCAGGTTTCACCTCCGGACGAGCGGGACTCCCAGATGCGCGGTGCCCGGTCGGACGTCTTTGACGCGGCTTGGGGTTTGCAGTCAGGGTTCTTGGGCCATTGAGCTGGATGTTGGGGTGGCGACGATTCGCAGAGTTGAAATCATTGCTTTGTTTCGCCTGCAGCCAAGCCGATTTAGGGTTCAGTGCGCGGCCTGATCGTGGCTCCGAGGAACCATCATCTCACGTATGTGGAGGAGGCTGGTCTCTTGCAGAAGGGCTACAAAGGTCAAGTTTTGGCAGGGAAGAGGATTGGGAACGCGGTGTTGGTTTGAAATCGACGATTATGTCCGCTGATTAAGCAAGATGCTCATGATCATACTGGTAGCAATGACTGCAATGATGAAGATTGCTCTAAAGGCAACTCCCGCCTTGCAATTCCACCCTCGCAAGCTTGAACCACTGGCCGAAGTCTTTTTGTTCCCATAGTATTTTGAGTCTAATATTCAGACCTGTATATTCGGGCTTGCTTCCAAATCTTCACTGCAGGCACTGATGATCTTTCGGGCATGCCTGGCCAAAGATGCTCGGACCGGACTCAGTGCGCAGCCGAAGGCAGGAGCTGGGATCAAGAGCATGTACTTGGAGGGTCATGGGACTTAGTAAGTAAGGTTATAAGTACCCTAATTAATTGGGGTTATAATTATAGTTAGCTTATCTATGACCCTAGCTACTAAGTCCCATGATCCTCCAAGTAGGGTTTCCTTGGAGCTTGGTGTGAGACTTTCTGCTACCTCGACATCCGAATCCCCTGACCCTACGGCCTAGGCCCGGTTTAGGGTTTAGGGCTTAGCGTTTAGGGTTAAGGGAACCTTAAACAAAAGCTCTAGGGCTCTAAGGCTCAGGGTAACCCCTCAGCCTCAAAAGCTGCAGTAAAACTTCAGGCCCGACCAGTAGTTGTGGCCAGAGACCCCAGGCCACCAAGACCCTACTTGGAGGATCATGGGACTTAGTAGCTAGGGTCATAGATAAGCTAACTATAATTATAACCCCAATTAATTAGGGTACTTATAACCTTACTTACTAAGTCCCATGCTCCTCCAAGAGTCGGCCTGAAACCTAAACCATATAACCCTCAACCCAAGAGCCTGAAACCTTCTTGAAACTTCACCTCCCTTGGCCAGAAGCAAGATGGGGGAAGCCTCAAGAAACCGATGGACATTCCGTCTGCGGCACACTTCAGCCACTGGGCCCAGTTCTAGTTTTTCGAGTTCAGGATTTAGGGTGATAGATGGGAGCTTCCGAAAAGTAGGGGTACCTTATTTGAGGTCCTTATAATAAGGATCCTACTATTTAGGGTGCTATATTAAAATCCCCTATTTTCGGAAACCCCCAGATTGTCGGGGTTTACCATGTGAACTTCAAAGTTTTGCAGGCTCTACGGGTCATTCAGGGTTTTGTAGGGTTCTAGGGGCTTGAGTAGAGTCCGATTGGGTACTATAGTTTATAATAGAGGACCCCCAAAACCCTATTCTAAGTACTCAGGCCCCTACATTAGGCCGTGCGTTTCCATCACATACAAGAAGCCCCAAGCGCCAGAGCGATGGGTCAGAGTTATTGACCGGGGTTTGTTGGGATTCCACGTTTAGCTTGGAAGGGGGTGCTTCGAGATCAACGTAATTACGTGTTACGCTGTTGCGTCTAGACCGAAACCCAAACCTCAATTCCAAACAAACAGCCCTTGACCCAAACCGACAGAAGGAACAGAAGGAAAGCAAAAGAATAACAAATCTGCCGCGCGGCCAAGCTCAGGGTAAAGCCAAACATCGCGGTCTGTTCATGTACATGGCACTAGAACTATCTACATACAAATCATGCCCGTAAGTAGTGCTAGTTCACCTCAAACCCTTTCAGGCTACACTATCAAGCTTGGGGCTTTTCGTCATTGCAACGACAGCTTGTCTGACTCACCAAGTCCCCTGATCCCCACCCATGCACACCACACAAGACCTACCCTGTAAAACCCTGACGATCCCGAAGCCCCCAACCCTAACGCCCTGAAGCCGTTAACCGTAAACCCTGGAAGAGCCCTCAAGAAAACCACTAAGACCCCCCAAACCCTACAAGAACCCTAAAACACCTGTAAGAGCCCTGTAAAAACCCGAAGATTGAAGTGGCGGCATCTGACTGTGCCCAGGCCTCGTCCCGAATGCGCAGGGTAACTTCGACGATGACGATGACGAAGATGCCGCGGCCCTAAACCCTAAGCCCTAAACCCTAAGCCCTAAACCCTAAACCCTAAGCCCTAAACCCTAAACCCTCGTTTCTGAGTCGGGCATGGGATTTCTTTGGAAGGCTTTGGGATTCAGCTTTGTGGGGCCCAGAGAGCCCAATCAATACCCCTTACAGAAAGGAACACACCTAAAATCATAAATCTTAAGGCCCCTTCTGGCCCTATAGTTTACGGCACATTCCTTATTTAAGGGGTCTTGGGCTTTCTGGGGGTACGGGACGCAGGCCCCGCAGGCGGAGGAAAAGCAGGATGCATCCCTTGGAGCTGCATGCCTCGGACGTTTGGAGCCCCGACACCTGATAGGGTTAGGGGGTTTGAACCCCTGTCTGGCGTTCAGAAGTCAGGGCTTAGTCGAGCATCACGCCAGATTTACGAGAGAAAGGGATGAAGGTGCATAAAACAGCATCGACGAACACCGACATGTTTTTTGAAACAGTTCGCTGTATCACGGTACAAGAAGCGTAGACATGTCTCTCGCTGAGTCCTGGGGCCGCAAGAGCATCATGACGATTGTTGGTACAGCTGTTGCTAGTCTTGCCAGTTTTGCATGACTTGCACCTTTACAATCCCCACTATCAGTATCAGTGTGACTCTCACTTTGGCATGCTTGGATGTCAAACATGTGCCGCGAGTCTAGGCCAGGCTGTAAACTTGAAGTAGCACGCAAGCCTGTAAGGAAGAAAGCTTTGACAAGAGGCCGGCTCGTGCTTGGGGGGAGCGAAGAAAGTGAGTCCTAGTTGCGATAAACAGGCAAGTGATGTTTATCTGCTGTCCATATTATGGTCGCTTAGACAAAGTTCCTTGGTGAGACCCCAGGATTAAGGTTTGATGTTCTGGGGTTCAGGGTTAGCGGCTAGCGGTTGAAGGTGCAGGGTAGGGTTACGGGCTATCATACGACAGACCAGACCAGAGCTGACTAGTTAGTGCCATAACGGCAATAGTGAGAAAGCAGTGGTATAACCAGGAGTAGCGAGCGAAGGAAGACAAGGGTTATGTCGTAGTCAAGGTATTGATGAAGTACATTGCTATGCAACGCGACATAATACAGTGAATGAAGGAGTCTTACGACAGAGATTGCTTGTAGGCATCGCAGATTCGTTCTGACAGGGCTTTAGTGTTTCAGGTTTTGGGGGTACTGTTGCAGCCTAAATAATACCAATACTATTTTAGGGTTCCTTATTGTCATCATAGTAGAATATACTCCGAAGCCCTATTCTGATTTTGAAGGCCTCTAAACCCTAAACCTTTATGGTAGCCCTTATAGTAACCCTTCTAGACCCTGTTTAAGGAGCCCTTTAAAGGAACCCTGTTCTAATTGTTAAGGCCTCTACATTAACTTCCTGCCTTCGTCTCGTGCTGCCCAAGAACCCAAAGCCTGATGTCGCCCAGCCACGAAGACCAGAACCCCTAAGCCCTATACCCTAAACCCTAAACTCCTGAACCCTAAACCCTAAACCCTGAACCTTAAACCCTAAATCCTAAACCCCAAACCCTAAACCCCAAACCCACAAAATCTTAAAGCCTCAGCCCGCAGCCCCTAAACCCCAGACCTTCCAGTATTATGCAGTCACCTAAGCAGTAACTCAGTAACACATATAGTCACCCTGGTAAGCCCCACAGTATAACCGCTGAGCCTTAAAACCCTGAAGCCGCAAAACCCTAAACCCTAAACCCTGTTAAGCCTACCTGTGTTGTTAAAGAGGTGTCAAAAAAACCCCGTTAACCCTAAACAGTAGCCCCTGTAACCCTAAACCCTAAACCCTAAACCCTAAACCCTAAACCCTAAACCCTAAACTTCTGTAGAACCCTCTCTTTTGGGGCAGGCCTTACTCGCTGAACGAGCTTCGGGACAAGGTCCCGGCCTTGGTGTCTGTCGTTGCCTTGAGGGGTAAAGGAACCCCTTAAAGGAACCCTTGAAAGTCTGCTATTAGGGATCTATAGGGGGCTCCTTTGAGGGTTCCTTTGAGGGCAGGGGGGCTCTCTGAGGATTGAAGCATCGAAGATTTCGGCTCCTTTGGGGTTTCCGAAATGCAAACCTCTTTGAGGTCTCTGCCGTTGGAGTTTCGGGAACCGTTTAGGGTTTAGGGTTTAGGGTTTAGGGTTTAGGGAAACTTTTTGAGGTTTCGGCTCTAGAGTCTCCGATGCTCCATGACGGTTGTTGTGCACACAGGAAGCACTCTGAAGCACGAGCTTTAGGGGCGGGCTTCAGGGTCGTTGGGTTCGGGATTACGGGGAAGTTCAGGCTGTACGGATCGATGGCGACTCCTGGTATCTCCCATGAGCACCTCCAAATGTTCGTGGGAACGTCGTCGCACTACGCGGCCCGCACCCAAACCGAGGCTTGGTAAGCTCGAAAAGCTTGAAGTCTTTGGCTTTCCCAACTATCTTCACCAAACCATTCACCCGAAACGCAAGAAACCCCACACCCTCAGGCCATGCATCCAAACACCCTACACCCAGACCTCAAACCCTAAAGCTCCTTACGGATTCCTTTATAAGGGCTCCTTGAAGGGTTCCTTTAATTGCTCCTTTAAGGGCTCCTATAGTATAAGGGCTCCATAAAATTCTCCTCTAAGCTCTCCTATAATTTAAAGGCTCCTTGAAGGGCTCCTTTGATATAAAGTGCTCCTTTAAGGGCTCCTATAACCCTAAACCCTAAACCCTAAACCTTGAAGGGAACCCTTAAGGGTTCCCTGTTGAAGACCCAGGCCTCCACAAGCATCTCCAAGAGGAGGAATAAGCGTGGCCAGCCAGGTGCAGGCCGGGTTTGGGGGTTTGGGGGTTCGGGGTT